CTACATGGATCGTTGCACCCAAAATTGTCCAGTTGTTCATGAGAAGCATCCATATATCTTGTCAGGAGAGGGGTAGCAGAGATGCAAGAGGAAGTGGAGGCAACAAACAGAAGAACTACTAGGAAACACGCTAAACATAAGAGTTATAATAAAAAAGACTCATCTCCCCACTTCTGCAATAAACATTTCATCCATGCCTGGTCCTAAGAGATGAGGCTGGGGGCACGCTGTCAACCATACCCTCACCTGATGTTGCTATGATGCTCAGATTTAATTTACCCAGTTACAAAATAATCCATACCACTGTCTCTCAACCAAACATTTAATGATTAAATCTGGATTTAGTTATTCATTTTACGCCCGATTAAAATTACACTCCTTTAACCAACAGCTGTTTCACTCAACTTGCCTTCAACACAATCAGGTCCGAGAAGAAACACTTTAGGCTGCACTATAATAAATAAATATCTAGATAATAAAATACACATATTGCTAATCAAGGTTAATAAATACACATATGAAGACAAAAAAAAAGGGAATAGGGAAAAATAATTGTCAAAGTGAAAATAATTTGTTTTAAATAAAAAAACTGATGCCACATGTTTTTGATCTGATGCAATATCCTCACCATCTACTATCCTGCAGCTTCTAGATTCATCTCTCATCCAAAACATCTGAAGTAAATTAGTGAATTCACTAAACTGTATTTCATTCCCTCCATAGGCCATGTGATCAATCATCCATTTTATTCAGGCATTATAGAAAAAGCTGTAGGATAGTAGCTCTAGAGCACTGAAATTGGTCAATCCTGTTCTAGATCCCCTGGAAACATCTGTCCTGGTTTTACGCAGGACTAAAAGAAGCCAACAAACAGCTGCTGACCTAGAAATATTCTTTATTGTCTTATTAGTATCATAAATACATTACTAAGAACATTTTACACTTCAAACATTAAATGTGAGATTAAGCTACATCCATAAAATATTAATTGCCAGGAGTCTCTATAAGTGAAAAGTGCATTAATGTTTCTCCCCAAAGAGAAAAAAAAATCAAAGTTTAGGTAGGTTTCCGGTGTCTGACAGTGTAACCCTATAGGTTCACATCACAGTAACTGAACCACATATAAGGTTGGAGGGAGTTCTGAAAAAAAAAAAAAAAAAAAAAGAGCACCGTCCTGGTACACTGGCGTCTGGCGCTGTACATCTGGCATTTAAAAAGCCTCAGAGCGAACATGCTGACATTATTGTTTCAAATGCGGCTCTTTCAGCCACCTGGTTTTCGAAGATCTATTGTCAAAGCGATGAATAGGACTAAAAGCAGCTTTTATATTTATCCTGCAACCAAATGTCAGCGACTCAAATGGCAAAAGTGTTTGAATAAATCAAGGAATTAAGTCTTTTCTTTTAGGCTCTTTCACGTGGATCTGCTGAAGAAAATCACCTGTTGCAAAAACTCATGAGCATTTTGTAGTTTCAGATGTCAGAGGGATTGCTTTCCAGTCAATGAGTCGATGCAATCACTTGGTTTATGCTTAGAAAACTGAACCAATCTGACTGTATTATCTGTTTAAATTGTCTCTGAAGTGCCTTGAGATGACATGTGTTTTGAATTGGCGCTTTATAAATAAGCTGAATTGAATCGACCAAAGTCATAATAACAAACATCACATCGACCTTTAAACAGAAGCTTGGTGTGATGTTCAGCCTTTCAAGGAGATCTGAGTCCTTGAGGCAAAAGCTCATTCTGCTTGAAAAGTTAAGCATGGCTGCAGGAGTTCAATGATTTTCTCTGCTTCCTCTGCCCTTCAGACTAAATCTTCCTCTTGCTATAAGACTACAGATGAGTTCTGTTTTACTACAACATGAACTCATTTAATCAACACCGGTTTTTAAAGCGAAATGCTGTAAAACATATAAAATATAGATTTAAATGCTTTAAGAATACAAAGACTACAGGGGATTTACTTTATATTTACAGCATTAATAAAAAATAAAGAAAAGGTCATCGTTTCTGAACCTGTCAATCATACACCTAACAAGCAAAAACTTTTTCACACTGATTTTTTTTATTCAAAATAAAAAAAAAAATCTAAAAACTCTTAAATGAAGCAAGAAACCTGAAGAGTGTTACTTATAAGACCTGTTCAATACGTTTTAAAGACTGGCAGGTAAACCATTGGATTAAATTAATTGTCATCAAGTCTTTATCCCCATATTTAGTATAAACGAAGCATCATTAAATTTGTCATTTCAAAAATCAAATTTTTTTTCAGACACGGGACTCCCATGAGTCATTTTCAAAAGGTATTACGGCAGATATTTCTAGAAAGGTCAGGGTTTAAATATGGAACCTGGAAACAAAACAGAATAAAAGGATGACATAGATGGAGGGACAGATAAATTGGTGACAGACTGAATCGATAAATGGATGGACAGATGCATGGAGGGAAGAATAGATGTGGAAATAGACTGCTCGATGGATAAATTCTTTAAAGAATACACTCACCGGCCACTTTATTAGGTACCCCATGCTAGTAACGGGTTGGACCCCCTTTTGCCTTCAGAACTGCCTCAATTCTTCGTGGCATAGATTCAACAAGGTGCTGGAAGCATTTGGTCCATATTGACATGATGGCATCACACAGTTGCCGCAGATTTGTCGGTCGCACATCCATGATGCGAATCTCCCGTTCCACCACATCCCAAAGATGCTCTATTGGATTGAGATCTGGTGACTGTGGAGGCCATTTGAGTACAGTGAACTCATTGTCATGTTCAAGAAACCAGTCTGAGATGATTCCAGCTTTATGACATGGCGCATTATCCTGCTGAAAGTAGCCATCAGAAGTTGGGTACATTGTGGTCATAAAGGGATGGACATGGTCAGCAACAATACTCAGGTAGGCTGTGGCGTTGCAACGATGCTCAATTGGTACCAAGGGGCCCAAAGAGTGCCAAGATAATATTCCCCACACCATGACACCACCACCACCAGCCTGAACCGTTGATACAAGGCAGGATGGATCCATGCTTTCATGTTGTAGCTGCTAAATTCTGACCCTACCATCCGAATGTCGCAGCAGAAATCAAGACTCATCAGACCAGGCAACGTTTTTCCAATCTTCTATTGTCCAATTACGATGAGCTTGTGCAAATTGTAGCCTCAGTTTCCTGTTCTTAGCTGAAAGGAGTGGCACCCGGTGTGGTCTTCTGCTGCTGTAGCCCATCTGCCTCAAAGTTTGTCGTATTGTGCGTTCAGAGATGCTCTTCTGCCCACCTTGGTTGTAACGGGTGGTTACTATCAGCTCGAACCAGTCTGGCCATTCTCCTCTGACCTCTGGCATCAACAAGGCATTTCCGCCCACAGAACTGCCGCTCACTGGATGTTTTTTCTTTTTCGGACCATTCTCTGTAAACCCTAGAGATGGTTGTGCCTGAAAATCCCAGTAGATCAGCAGTTTCTGAAATACTCAGACCAGCCCTTCTGGCACCAACAATCATGCCACGTTCAAAGTCACTCAAATCACCTTTCTTCCCCATACTGATGCTCGGTTTGAACTGCAGGAGATTGTCTTGACCATGTCTACATGCCTAAATGCACTGAGTTGCCGCCATGTGATTGGCTGCTTAGAAATTAAGTGTTAACGAGCAGTTGGACAGGTGTACCTAATAAAGTGACCGGTGAGTGTAGATATATGCTGGATGGATTATGGAGGGATGGGTGGCATTAACTGGATGGATGTGAATAGATTGATGGGATGCTGGATATATGAGTACATGCAGGGATAAACTCAGGTATGTTAATAGATTCATTAACGGAAAACCTAAAAATAATTTACAGAAAATTCCACTGTAAAAGTTTAAAACCAGAATTCAGAAGTAGATTAGCTTCCATAGCAAAAATCAGGAGGGTCCTGCAGGACAAATCATTAAACAGGACATTGGGGATAATAGATGCACCAGACTTATTAATGGCTTTGTACATACATCAACTAGTGATGCAACCTGGACACATCATCAGTGATATTACCTGGTATCATAGAGTGTTTCGGGTCTTTCAAACATCATACACTCTCCTCCAGGCGACCCAGCCAGGGTTGATCAGACCCCAGCTTGTGTCCAGGTAGTGCTACCCTACCCACGGATCTCCTCTCCTGATCCACAACCACCGCGAGGCAACCTCTGCTGCCTCTGTGGCTTCCTTGATGGCCCTTCGCTTGCTGGCCCCTGTGATGCCCAGCATGCTGTACACCCTGCAGAGGGACTGGCCAGCAAACCCTCTGCATCCCACCTCAATAGGCTCGCACCTTGCTCGCCACCCATTGAGCCGACACTGCTCCACCAGATCGCTGTACTTAGCCCTCTTTCTCTCGTTGGCCTCCTCGATGCGGTCTTCCCAAGGGACCGTGAGCTCCAGAAGCACAACCTGCTTCGATGTTGCTGAGGTCAGCACCACGTCTGGCCTTAGTGATGTTATGGCCACATTTTCTGGGAACTTCAGTTGTTTCCCCAAGTCTGCCATCAGCTCCCAATCCTGTGCCATTGTGAGCAGGCCAGAGGAAGAGACCCTGGAAACAGCTGGTGGTCCTTCTCCAGCTCTGATGAAGGAGATAGCCTCCTTCGCTGGGCGGAGGCGCTTGCAGTGGGCTATTCCACTGCAGATGGAGTTCGCTATGGCCTTCAAGACCTGGTCATGACGTCCTGCAGGGTCCTGCAGGACAAATCATTAAACAGGACATTGGGGATAATAGATGCACCAGACTTATTAATGGCTCATTAAATATTTAGCTGAGTTACAAGAAAAAAGCCTTTTGCAAACAAACCGAGCTGCAGAGTTGAGGTTGTGTCCTTATGAGACATTTTCCTGTGATTTTCTTTGGTCTTATTTCATCCTCCTTTAAAAGTTCATTTATAACATGTGGCTGAAACCCCTGTTCTGGAAACATCATGTGAAACAACAAAGACAATACCTACTTCGAACAAAAAGTCAAACCAAGGATATGCTTTTCATATGACTTTATATACATCTTATTCTGGAGACATTTTACACAAAACAGGTTGATAATGTGTTAAGTTACAAAACTGGAGATTAAAAACACAAATGTACAATTAGCTTAGAGACGGTGCATCTTCTGTTCCTCACACAGTGTAACTGCTGTACTTCTGCAGTGTGTATGTTGCTACGGTATCCAGCAGCCATCCACGGGACACGACTGTGGCCTTCCTGGACAGACCTGTTGAGCAGAGAGCAGGTTAACAAAGAAGAGAATCACAGGCGGTGTGTCTTTAAGGGTTCAATTGAACAGAGTATAATCTGAGACGCTTTCCTGCCTCTTTTTCATTAAATAAACATGAAAAGCTGTCTTTGAAAGCTGTTTGTTAGACCACACTGGAGCTCCACTGGGTCCTACACTGTGGTTTAGTGATTAGGTTGCTAAAGATATACCACATCAGGCACCTGCCTACAAAACCCAGAGAGCTTCAGTTACTCGCAGAGACTAACAACTACTCCATCTTTCATGTGAGACAAGCATGAATATTTCCACACAGTGGTAGATCCCTAATCTATGGTTAACCAAACAAAAGGATGTTGAAAAAATGTTTTGAGAACAAAAACAAACTAATAATAAAGACCACAATAGCAGGACATGTCAGTGGCAAAGTTGAAGTCATAAATCTGCACAGATTTCTACAATTTGTCCTAAAATGTCTGCATATTGCACCTAAAATTATCAAACCTCTATTGCAAATAGATTTGTTGACAAAAGCTATTCAGACATTTCAATTTAAATAAATTATACAAAAACAGTTTAAATCAGTGGCTTTAAAATTAAGTTTGGGATCTGCAAACCTGTAGACGCTTCTCTGTTTTCAATTCAAGTTGAAAATGCTTTTAATATTCCCAAAGAGAAATTAAACGTTGCAGTAACTCATATGGTTTTTGCTTTTTCCATCAAGGGGTTTTAGGTTTTAAGCAGGCAGGAAGGATCTTCGAGAAGGAAAAAAATAAATCTTTTAAAATCCTTCCAGTTTCACAGAATTCAACATCAGAAGCAAAAAACATCAGCAAATAGAAACTGATCCACAAACTGAGAAACTAAATTTCTCGTAAATAAAGAGTCAGAGTAAAGCTAGCCACTCTAAAATACAGCCACCTTAAATCTAGAATGTATAGAATATAATTGAACACACCTGACTCCCATAAACACAGCTCTGCAGAGCTAGCAAAGTAGCTTAGACCCTTGATAAAGGTCTGTAGGGCAATGGATACATCTTGAAGTTGTCAGAATATGTCACATACATATTCTGAACAGAACGGCCTGTTTATATTGAAGCAAGGTGGTGACGGAGTGATGCTCTGAGTTGTAGCAGTAGCATGCAGAAGGCTGGATGTTATTCAATCAGGTATCATGAAATATTGGTAGAAAATATGAATTTTGTGTGGAGGCTAAAGCTGTGGAGTCATTAGAGCTTCAAACAGGACGATGATCCCAAGCAAACAGATTCAACCAAGACTAGGGGTGAGTATTGGCATTGGTGTTGCAATTTGATACATATCACGATACTTTGGTCAAAATCCGATATTATTGAATTATTAGAATAATTTTCCCAGATATGAAATTGTAAAACTGTGTAATGTATACTTAAAAAAGCAAGTGGTGGATATGTTCACCAAAATTATCATTTAAGGCCCCGTCACACATTGACGATTTAAACAGTGTACGCCTGACGTATGGAAAATCTTTCTTAAACGCTGGCATAAGTTTGATAAGTTATGGGTACATTTTGTATAAGTCATGAGCACGGTGAAGCAAGCTGAAGCACGCTGGCACACGTCGACATACGGTAATTACGTCAGGAAATTTTGAGCGCGCTCAAAACTCTCCGACATATGCCAGCGTATGCTCATTCAGTACGTGGGGCATAAGTTACAGGTCAGTTATCTGATCGTTGACGTATGTTTAGTGTAAGTTACTCATAAGTTGTGGTGTCTAGTTTATCTAAAACCTCTGAGTACCTTGTGCATAACTTACGCGTAACTTATCAAGAATTTATCTCCAACGCATATCAATGTATTTGACCTGTTTCAGGCGACCGATGAACGAGTTTCTAACTTACAGCTACTGTATAATGGCGTATTGGCAGGGTTTTGCTATAAAAGGGGGTTCACAGGAGGAAACCATCAGTTCTTCTCCAGACTTCATCGACATCATAGGGTGAGCGAGAAGGTGAGTGTGATGGATCCTCCCTGCGTTCACGCCCACGTCCAACAAATTCCTGGCAGACATGACGCTGAAGCAACTTCTTTCCTTCTTTCAAATTTTATTTATTCTTTTTTTTTCTTTGGCAGGCAGTAAAGAGCAGCTAGGTTAATATTGCGATCAAATAAATCTATTTATGCAAGCCGAGCGCCTCGTCGCACATCGCTACCCCCGTCAGGACACATCATTTCATGGACGTTACACTGCCGTGCGTTATGCATAAGTTAGGCTGTCATTGGACACACGATTTGGACTCGTCATGAATACTATATGTATGCACCCAAAATTGAAAAACATACATAGAAAGTTCAGTGTATGCCAGCGCTTTAGGAGATTCTGGGACGTCATACGCTGGCTAAATCAGCAAGGTGTGACGGGGCCCTTAGTTATTTTGGTATCCATGTTCTTTGGGGTTTGAGTCAGTTCCCGTCTTCCACTGTGACTTCCTCAGCTACAGATATGGGGCTGTGCCGCACAGCAAAAGGGCTGCATGGCGCCATCTGCCAAAATAGCAGTGCAGAGGCGGCCCATTTAAAGGAATAGTACACCCAAAACATGATTAGCCTTCATTTTCTACTCACCCCCATGCTGAACAACACTCTGGAGTACTTTTTTGATATCTCAAATGCATCTGGAGATCTGGGAGGCTTCTTGCTGTCTGCTGACATTCAAATAATGGAGGTCTATGGTGCCCGAGGCAGAAAGGTCCATAAAAGTCCACAAAAAACGTGTCAATATTCCTCCATACTGCTCGTCCAATGTATTTCAAGTGTCCTGAGTGGGTAGCATCCAGAATTTACTCGAAACGAAGTCATTTAGAATGTTTTTAGAGCATAAACAGTGGTGTATAGGATTTCCTGAAAGCGCGCACCTGCGCGTTCATGACGCTGCGGAAATCGCGGCAGACCAAACCAGATGAAAGTGCGCATTCAGCGTCTGCTCTGCCAATAATGCAAGCGTAGAAGAAGAAATGTGCTGTTTACCTGTGCAAAGAAAGAAACAACGAAAGAAAAATGTCTGAGGACTTCAGTGTTGAGGAAGAGCATGAGTTCTTTGCTGAGCTGAATGCGCACTTTCGTCTGGGTTGGTCTGCCACGGTTTCCGTAGCGCCGTGAACGCGCTTTCAGGAAATCCTATACACTACTGTTTATGCTCTAAAAACATTCTAAATGACTTCGTTTCGAGTAAATTCTGGATGCTACCCACGCAGGACACTTGGAATACATTGGATGAGCAGCATGGAGGAATATTGAAACGTTTTTTGTGGACTTTTATGGACCTTTCTGCCTCGGGCGCTGGGCACCTCCATTATTTGAATGTCAGCAGACAGCAAGAAGCCTCCCAGATCTCCAGATGCATTTGAGATATCAAAAAAGTACTCCAGAGTGTTGTTGTGCAGCATGGGGGTGAGTAGAAAATGAAGGCTAATCATGTTTTGGGTGTACTATTCCTTTAAGATTGATATTATATCAGGTAAATGAAAATCACAATACAATGCCAAAAATATTTTTTCCCACACCCCTACCCAAGACTTTGGAATTTGAACAGTTGAACATTTATTGTTGTGTTTATATTGACTGCAGAACACAGAACCAAGAGTATAAATGTACCCCGTTGAATTTGACTCAGAGGGACTGCCTTGAGACGCTGAAGAATTTACAGAGGAGGTTAAGAAAGCAGCAGGTGCTCTGAGTACGAAAGTTTCTTATCAACATGAGGTTGAATACATCTCAAATGTTTGATCTTTGAACTCATGTTTGAGCTCTTTTTTATGATTTGTAATCAGTTCTAATAATTGTGCAATTTAGTTTTTGCAAAATATCTTTTGTTGGCTGGTGAACTAAATGAAATTGCATCATAATATGACTGGGAACTCAATAATTATACTATTGGTAAACTTAACAAATCAACATGACATCATATTGTGATAAATCAGGTGATATAGAACAAGCTGGAATTGATCAGGGGTGTCAAAGCGGTTTGCTGGGATTATAATCCATGACCTACTTCCTGTGAGGCAGCAACGTTACCAAATGTCCGACTGTGCTTCCCCTGTTCAAAACTATATAAGCAAAATCTGATGGTGAAATATGACTAGCATTTTAACAATTGAGCAGATAGAATCATAGAACCTTAATTCATAAATTGTTTTAATCTTCCAAACATGAATGTAGATTAAATGGATCGGACCAAGTTAATGCATTTCACAGCCACATACACTATATTGCCAAAAGTATTTGCTCACCCATCCAAATTATTGGAATCAGGTGTTCCAATCACTTCCATGGCCACAGGTGTATAAATTCAAGCACCTAGGCATGCAGACTGTTTTTACAAACATTTGTGAAAGAATGGGTCGCTCTCAGGAGCTCAGTGAATTCCAGCGTGGAACTGTGATAGGATGCCACCTGTGCAACAAATCCAGTCGTGAAATTTCCTCGCTCCTAAATATTCCACAGTCAACTGTCAGCTGTATTATAAGAAAATGGAAGTGTTTGGGAACGACAGCAACTCAGCCACGAAGTGGTAGGCCACGTAAACTGACGGAGCGGGGTCAGCGGATGCTGACGCGCATAGTGCGAAGAGGTCGCCAACTTTCTGCAGAGTCAATCACTACAGACCTCCAAACTTCATGTGGCCTTCAGATTAGCTATAGAACAGTGCGCAGAGAGCTTCATGGAATGGGTTTCCATGGTCGAGCAGCTGCATCCAAGCCATACATCACCAAGTGCAATGCAAAGCGTCGGATGCGGTGGTGTAAAGCACGCCGCCACTGGACTCTAGAGCAGTGGAGACGCGTTCTCTGGAGTGACGAATCGCGCTTCTCCATCTGGCAATCTGATGGACGGGTCTGGGTTTGGCGGTTGCCAGGAGAACGGTACTTGTCTGACTGCATTGTGCCAAGTGTAAAGTTTGGTGGAGGGGGGATTATGGTGTGGGGTTGTTTTTCAGGAGCTGGGCTTGGCCCCTTAGTTCCAGTGAAAGGAACTCTGAATGCTTCAGCATACCAAGACATTTTGGACAATTCCATGCTCCCAACTTTGTGGGAACAGTTTGGAGCTGGCCCCTTCCTCTTCCAACATGACTGTGCACCAGTGCACAAAGCAAGGTCCATAAAGACATGGATGACAGAGTCTGGTGTGGATGAACTTGACTGGCCTGCACAGAGTCCTGACCTCAACCCGATAGAACACCTTTGGGATGAATTAGAGCGGAGACTGAGAGCCAGGCCTTCTCGTCCAACATCAGTGTGCGACCTCACAAATGCGCTTCTGGAAGAATGGTCAAAAATTCCCATAAACACACTCCTAAACCTTGTGGACAGCCTTCCCAGAAGAGTTGAAGCTGTTCTAGCTGCAAAGGGTGGACCGACGTCATATTGAACCCTATGGATTAGGAACGGGATGTCACTTAAGCTCATATGTGAGTCAAGGCAGGTGAGCAAATACTTTTGGCAATATAGTGTATCTTTGATATAAGGATAAAATCCATTTAAATATTTGATAGTAAATACCTCATAGACACATTGGTATTTAAGGTATTTCAGCCACATCTGTAACATCACTTTTTAACCAATGTTTTCTGGACATTTTCAAATCCAAATAATGATAAACTGGCTGACTTGATGATTTCAATTTGTGGGGAAAAAGGGAATAAGAAGGGAGGATTGAAGAGTCTGTTCAATTACCTGGACTATCAGTGCCAGAGGACATGGTGGAGGGCACACGGCTTTAAATATGTAGTAGTGTAAATTAGGATGCTGAGAGGAGGGGTTGCTCTCCTCTCCTCCATTTCAAGCAGTCAGCTTTCTGTGTGCTGTGGCTGCCTCTCTCTTAAGTGGCACACTTGTTTTGACATTCCTCTCCCTACAATCTGACATTTTTTCTCAGCCTTCACATTTGCTTTCCTTATAAGTCGCTCTCCTTCCTCTTTTTCTCATTTCGAATAGCAGCACCTGCCATTTCAGTGTTAGGCCTCTCTACGCTTTGTACCTGCAGACTTAATTCCACTCTGCTGGCTATAAAGGTGTAAAGGCATGCACTTTAATGGAGTGGGTGAGGAAGGTGCAGTTACCTGAAAACATTTTTAACGCACTACGGAGGCCAAAAAAAGAAGGTATATTTTAGATTGTTAGCTCACCGACAGATGTCAGAAACTTAAGCATAAATGTTGCTCCCTGATGCTGAATTTTTATAAGTAATGATTTAACTCAAAACCAGAGGAGATCCCTCCTTGCTGCTTGCCAGCATTCAGTAACTAAAGTGCTGTTTCTTTATGGAAAGAAAGGTCAGACATGTCACCAAAATCCTCCACAGTCATAAAGGCAAGACTGGTTAGTTAGTGCTAGCCATTCTCTTACAGGTTACCCTCCAAAAACTATATAGAAATAAGCAAAAACTTCTGAAATTAAGCATATTTACCCTTATTTTGAGTATGTAATTAAGATGGTTTGCCAATGGAATTTTGTATTTTTACTCTTAAATTAAGATTATTAGATAATATACACTTAAAACAAGACAAAGCAATTATTTTGGTTTTTTTTTTTTTTATAGTAAATGTAGATTGTTTGGTTACATTAGCAAAGTGTCTCACTTACCTACTCAATAAAAAAAAAAAAAACACCCTTTTAAGAAAAAAAAATTTGATTTAAATTTTTTTTGCAGTGTATTATTATGTTAGTTACCGCTATGGTACATCATGAACACCTTTTCTCTTCCTTTGGTGCTTTTGGACAAAGGATTCAGATTTGAGGTGTGCTCCTTAGTGCAAAAGCCTATGAAGATATTTTCTTTCACCTAATTCTTTTTAAAAGGGCTTTTTCTAGACGTTCTTTTATAAAGTTCAATGTAAGTTGTTTATAATTACAGATATTCAATCAAAAGACTCTCCCACCTAAGCTGTGGGTCTCTGCAGCTCCTCTAGTGCTACAGTGGACCGCAGCTTCTGGGATTAATGCTTAGTTCAGGAAGACAGCCGTCTAGTTTATAACAACTTAAAATCATACAATATTGCTTTAAGATCAGGATTATCTTCCACTGCTCCGTAAGACCAACGAGGCATGACTAAGATCGATTACAGCTATTAGAGAGAACTGAACTAAGATGATTGAAATTCTCTTCCTTCAGTAAACACCCAAGAGGTTTTTCTACTGGAGACCATCTTTATCTCACATTCTAGAAGTAGATTCTCCTAATCTCTGCTAATTCTACGATTAGCAGAGCAATAATAGCAAAGCTTTGGTATTATGGGCGTGAGGACCTGGGTCGGGTATAAAGCGTGTTTCGTTTGAGGCCTAGTTAAAAAGCTAAAGGTGAAAATGTGTTTTTTCTTTGCAGAGAAGACTTACTGCTGTACAAGGAGGATGATGAATTGGCCCTGGGCTGAACGATGATGATATGGTGGGATTTCTGTGGGAAGAAACGTAAAAAACAGATGTGTTAATATTTTAAACATTGCAGTCAGGAAAATTTAGCTAAACAGCTTCTTCTTCTGGCTATTTACTGACTGATCAAGATGGGCACATTTCCCCTACTATGTCGTCATATTCTTTTCTTTCCAATTTTGAATGTCTGGATAAGAGAAACATGCCTCGTTGCCATTCAGCCTCAACATTCAGATTTATTTAAAGTGAGAGTTTGTTAACATTTCCACAGATATAATTTAATTTTCTCTAAGCAGATATACAAAATGGTGAATGACTAATGCGGTGAATAAGTGCTTCTTGATTTAACATCGATTAATTAAACAAAATGCTACTATTGCAAATGTACTTTATAAACAGCAAAACATACACTAATACCAATCACTAATTTAACATAGAAGATATTATGTTTAAGTAAAGAGAAACTACTGGGGAGATAAAGAATGCCTTAACAGAAAAGTAAAATAAAATTTTCTTACAAAAGAGAAGAATAAATTTATAGACATTTGTTTTAAAGATACTTCCTGGTCATTAAATGGTAAATCGGTCTGCCAAGGATGAAAGGCTCGCATTTTATTAGCCTAATCGTTCGCCCGAACACGAGGAGCACAAGTCCGCACAAGCTACTACCCAGCAACCTTTAGATGCATTCCTGCTCCATTGACCGGCATCACAAAAACGACTTTTCACCAGGCCTCTGCAGGCCAACGGATGCAACTAAAGGCTGCAGGATAGAAGTGCTTGAGGGCTTGAATTGGTCATCCTTCACTAAGCTAAGAAAGCAAGCTAGAAATCCTAGAAAATAAACAAAAATGCTTCAGTGAAATAGGTTTTACAAGGACAGAAATAAATGAATAAAAACACCTCTTCCCAAACTAAAATTATAATCTTTAAGGAATAAATGGATAAAAGGTGGATTTATCAAACAAAGTCAAACTGATAGGAGTATTGATGCATGTTTTGAAGCCACGCCATATATCACAGTTTGTCCTAACTTTAGGTTTTGATTAAGAAAACTGGAAATTTATATATGGGTAAATAAAAGCAAAGCAGTACATATTTTAGAGATTAAAAAACACACAATTTTAAAAAGGCAGATCAATCAAACTGTAATCATGTATCAAGGCAGAGAGACTGATCCCCTTACCTGCTTGCCATCAAGAAGAAGTGGATCTTTAACAACTGTGGCTCCACACAACTCAACCATCCACTGCATGTCATCTTCGAAAACACATTAATATGATATTTTTTTTAAAAGAATTGCTACATCATATAATGTTTCTATTATTTCGACATTGCAGGAACCAAAATAAACTATAAAAAGAAACCTCTTTTAATTAGAGAGAGATAAAAGGTCACGTCATCTGTAAACACCTTCATAACTAGGTTTAGGAAATCCCTTAGTGTAAAATATTACAGCATGATTTATATGGTTCATGGTTAAATGGTGCATAAAATCCAGTTTGGCAGGATTCCATATTCGTGTGAAGTTTAAGGAAGTCTTCACGTTGCTTATGCTAGCTAGCAGATGTCATCCCATTAGCAAAGCTTCATCAATCCAGAGAGCAGCAGGAGGACGCTGCTGCAGCATTTTAGCAAGCGCTGGAGGAAGGAAACTGAAATAGAAAAGCGTGACACACTGAGACTTCACCACATGTTGTTGAAAGGTTTTGTGTGCTATCAAGTTTTTTTTTATATGGAAATCCAGCACAAAATAGTACACACCTGTGAAAGAAACTAATATTTGCAATTTTTTTTTTTTTTTTTTACAGAGCAAATATGAAATGAGAGCCATGCTTTTGTGTGGTTTTTATACCCTAAAAAGGTCAGAAAAACTTATGTCCTTTATGATTTAACCTCAAGAGAAATACCATGATTGGGGCCAAGAGGAAAAAATACAGCTGAAGGAAAGCTATAAGAAGTCCTGTTTGCAGTTTGCCACCAGTCATGCAGAGGGCGATGTGTGGAGGAAAGTTATCAGCTAAATGGGATCTCTGTTCTACATGCAGAAGAACATGAGTGGAAGAAGATAAAACCAAAGAAAACATCACCCCTTTGGGGGTTTTTTTCAACTGGGACAGAAAAGCTGGTTCATGTTGATAAAAAGGATAGATCCGTATAGACAGAGGTCCTAGAAGAAGGCCCGGCAGAGGCAGATGTTCACCTTCTAGCAGGAAACTGAACCTGAACATGCAGCCAAAGCCACTGTGGAATGGTTAATACCATGTGAGAAAATGGCCCAGTTGAAGTCCAGACCTGAATCGAAATAAGAATCTGTGGCAGGACTCGAACAGTGACATTTACAGATGCTGCCAATAAAGTTGGGGCCATTTCACAAAAAATAATCAGCAAAAATGTAGCCCTCTAGATGTTCAAAGCTAGAAGCTGGAAAGCTTAAGAGTTAGAGATAAAGATAGCTAGAAAATTTTTGCCAAATAGGACCTGGATACAAATTATACTCCAAAAAAAGTCCAGATTAACTAATTTTTTCAAACTGGCTTTTAATACTTAGAAGATGCTGATTCATGCTTTTGTTTTTACATTTTTATCTTTCTCTGAAGCACTTTGGTCCTGGTGTTGTGGTAAAGTGATATACAAATAAACTTTGATTGATTGATTTATAGATGTTTGCACCCATAAAGTTCTGCATCATGTTTATTTATAGTTTAAAAATGATGTTCTACTTTGTGCCAGTCTATCATACTGAGTTTTATTAAAATAAATTAGGTATGATGCAATTACATAATAAAAAAATAGAGCAAAAATATCTAATTGTTTTTCATAACTATTGTCTTTGAGCTTTTTGATAAATAAAAAATTAAAGTTACTATTTTCCTTTAAGAGCCTAGCTCTCAAGCAGCTAACAAAGGTCATCACTGTGAAATATGACAACAACTACTGTAACAAAACAAACACACGCCTCTGATCTGCACTCAGTCTGCCCACATCCTGGATTCACCAACCGTTGTTCAAATCTGCTGCAAAGAAAATAAATGAAAACCTGTTTTCTTTTTTTTTTACTTCACCACTATGTCTCCCCCTCAGCGGCACAGGGGGGAAATAAACGAATGATTTTGATGGATTAAGTAATTTTGGTTACGAAGAGAGAAATGAGTGAACGGTTCTTGAAACATAAATCTCTGGAACTACATCTGTGTCACATCTCGAAGTGAGGCTGTGCAGGATGTCAGTTACCAGCATGCAACAAGATAATCAGAAAGGATCGTCTAAGAACTGCGGCGTATGGATGTCTTATCACATTTTCTGACGTCCACTCAAGTATGTTCACACCTTTCATTGACGAACACAAGCATTTGAAAATGATAAGATAGAGAAGATTGAAAATTGTGATGGATTTACTCCTGGTTGTTCAATCTTATCAAGCAAAGATGGATGCTGCTGTGCGGGTTAAACCCTTAAAAGCGAAAAGTGACAACCATCTGCAGGAACATAAAACGTCTAAGTATGTTTAAATCTCTGCTTAAAGATTTTGATCATTATGTCTAATTAGGAATTACATGCTTCATTTAACTTCTGTTTGAAGAATAGGTATAACAAAGAAGAAAGAAAGCTGATGAAAGATGGCACTGATTATTTGAAAGTAGTTCTTTCATTTCTAACAGTTCAAATTCCATAACAATTCAGATGCAAATATCCTTTCTTTTTTTAACCCACATACTTGAATTCATTGTTTTTAATGGCAGCTTTTTATGCAGTCTTCAATTTAAGTGATGAGAATAAAATCTGTGAGACATACTGCAGGATCAGAGGAAGAACTGAAAAGGATGGATGGATGGATGGATGGATGGATGGATGGATGGATGCTGAATCAAGAGGTTCTGACCTTATTATAAATCTTAGATTATATAGAAATTGCCAACATACAGAAACAGTGTTTTGACCATTTTAAACTGACATAAATGACTAAATGATGCAGTTTACCTGTGGACATGTCTGTAAAAGGTCCCTTGAGGCAGATTGTGTAGCCCTTCAAGAGAAGCTGAAGACAGAAACAAAAACTACAGTTAAAAGTACAATAAAACAGAAATGTCTACAAAAACTGCAGAGCTTCCTATAGTGAGGGACATAAGCAGAGTAATGTTAACCTTCACACACAGTTCAGCGGCAGCGTGTGAGAGCAGTCCTTACTTCCATTACCATCACAGAGTGGGTTTTTGAACTCTTCGCCTGTGTGAAGGGTTACACCAGCGCAGGGTAAAACACTTCTGAGCTTTCCCTGCAAATTAAAAGCCCAAACTCCTTGTTCAAGGTTTAAAATGACACCTATTTTTACTAATCTCTCCAACAGTAATGCTGTAAACTCAGGGGTGAGTAAAAGTGCCGCCTTCACTGAGATAAAATCCCAGTGAAAACCACAGGGATGTGACCAGGAGACCCTAAGGGGCTGCAGTAGTTTATAGGAAAATGGGAATGAAAACTAGTCTCAATAAAGCCACTGCACTCACATTAAAGGCGTTATTCACCAAATGTTGAAAAAATAACTATAGAAGGAAAAAATTTTGTTAATAATGTTAAATTGATTTTTCCATTCATTACACAAAGAGAGCATGGCAGGCCAAGAAGGTCTACCATAACTGAGAGACAATGGAAGCAGGGAACAGGTGGAGGCAGAAAAAAGCCATGAGGGAATGTCTAAAGCAAACATTTGCTATAAACTTATTAAAACGAATCCCACTGCAGGCTGATGATGGCATATTATGTGTGAGAATATCCAAATCCAAGTCATATATCAAGGGAGAATCTGCAGCAAAGGTTAAAAATTGATGCTTTAGATCTTTTTCCAGTTTTACTTGCTGCATAACAGATTTTACAACCATGCTGCTATTTTGTATTTTATTTTTTTGTGTAATAGGCCTTTGTCTTTTTTATTTTAAATACGTTTAATTTAATCCAAGTATGCTTTTTAAATAGCTTTACAGTGTTTTGAGATACTTGTTCTTCTTTGCTTCAACTGCCTACGGTAATCAAATTCTTTGATTCTTTTTGTTTCCTTCATAGTTCCAGCAGGTCAAGGTTTAACAAAAAATACATTTCCATAAAATCAAACATGACTGTAGTTTCTACTTTTAAAAATTAACATTAGTGGAAGAATGGCCACTCGGAAAACCTAGAACTGACTGTTTGTTAAGGAAAGCTCTGTGTTTACACCTTGAAGCTTTCCTCCCAGATTCTTTCCTGAGACGAGATCACTCAGGACAAACTCTTTAAATAATACTCCATAATGTATATGCATTAAATAATCATCAGACAACAGAAATCTTTATATTACTCAGATCAGAGAAGTTGCTTAGATGTACAGATGGCAGCGCTTACCAACCAGCTCGCTGCTCGTGAAGTGCCTTTAGTGCAACTCCAGTATGCCACATCGTACATGTTTGTCAATGAGCAGACATCCATGGATCCAGCCATATATAAATATTACACTTTGTTTTTAGAACAAGGATACTGCTCTCATCCAGAGGAACTGTCCTAATTGCACAAACTACTTGGGAAAACATTAGTTCTGACACGCAACAGACAGGTATTATTAGGGATGAACAGACTCACACATCACCAACACCAATAATCCTAACAGTTGTGACCATCTTGCAGACTTTTGTTGTTTTAAAACTGCCTTCTCCAATAAAAAACAAGACTTCTAAAAAACAAAATAAAACAAAAAAATAAAGAACAAAACCTCTTCTCTAGTTTATTTAAGCTGTCTGCCATTTATTTTTTCCCCCCCCCCCCTGGAGACTATCAGTTAAGATTGTAAGGTGGTGTGTACGTTAAGAACTGTAATAATCTTACCAAAATTTTGTTTGTAACAATATATTATTCTGTCACTGCCTGAACATAACATATTAGGGTAATGTGATACTTTTTTAATGTATTACCCTTAATACTGTGCAGGCATCATTTCCTAGGGAATCAGACCTCTGAGCTCTGCTCCCCTTTAGAGCCCCTCCCATCAGCTACTAACAAACTTATACTGGGCAACAGTTTAAAGTATGCATTGCCTTGGTGTGATGGAAAGGGATCTGCACAGGATGGAAAGGAGTTAAGACAGGTTGTGAGGAGAGAAAAGGACACAGGCGATAGACTGATTGTCCACTGTTATAAGAAATAGTTCAGCTATGATAAATCCAGAAGAAAAAGGCCTAAAAGCATTTGATCTTCTACTTGTGCTCCACTTTTTCTTTTAAGAATTTCTCTTAGTTTTGTCTAATGCCATTGTAATTTTTTTCCCCAAGTGTGCTTTTATTTTTCTATGCCCGTTTTAATTTCTTTCAGCGTATTCTGTCTGCATTCTTAACATTTCATTATGTTTTCATCATGAGAAATATTCTTAAATCTTAAGCTTTTAGTCTATCTCTATGCTTCCATTTATCCATTTGTTTTGCCAATCGTACACCTGAATTTCCTGACGGTCAGATAATAAAAGGCATTTCCATTCAGTCGATATCTAATTTTATATTTAGCTGCTCTGCTAAGTTAGGCAAAGCTTTTTAGTCTCGACATTCTTAATGCAGTTTAAGCCATAAACCAAACAGCAAGCAAAGTGCAGATTTCTGTGCTACTTTATGTGAGCATATTACAAACAAAAAGAAAAGACAAAGATTTTTGGTTGTACAGTTATATTCTTCAAACAATGCAGCAGCTGTAAATATTTTTTGTATGGCGGCTCCAGACACCTCATCAGGGAAAATGAAAAGCATGATGCGTCAAAAAACGTTCAAAGTTCCGCCGTTTGATTTGAGTCACTTATATAAGCCTGAATTTACAAGTTAATTCGATCAGGGGAGGTATTTCAAAGGGACGAATGCGATCAACATGACATCCGAGCCATTTCTAATTTTCCCCCTCAGTGGCAGCAGAGCGGGCCCGCTGACTTTATACACAGAGGAAAAATACAATTAGATTCTTCACAACAGGATGTGAGTGAAGCGGCTGGCGCAACAGGATGAAACAAGGGCTGCTTGTGATGGGAGCATTTGATTGACTTTGGTGCTCAGAAGGTTCTTTGTGGTCAAATAGAGGCACGGCAACAATAGGGAGATCTTTAACAGAAAACACGCTGAAGATTTTAGCCTCTAATGATTGTTGTTGGCATGCTATGAGGCCTGTCAAACACAACTAATAATCTAAGGTTTAAAGAAGGTTCATGATCTGATATAATGAAGCGAAGCAGAAAATAATGTTTGGCTTAGAGGTGAAAGAATCGGAGGGCGAGGAGAGTTGATATACGGGGAAAAGGAGAAGGATGGGGTTACTGTAGGTCATCTCTGAATACCCCTCTGTTATTGGCTCATAGCACTACTACAATTTATTGTTGAAGTACATCTTAATAGGAGTTCAGCACTCTAAGATGGATACGGCTGATAGGAGATTTGAGAGGTATTTATAAGTGTACCATCTCTCTTATTAGTAAAATGACACAAAAGCCTCCCCTGCTTGCCCTCCTCTCATAGAGGAGCTAATAGTTCTTGGCTCTAATCCAGTCTGTGCTTCAGTTTTTGCCTTGAACCTTGAATATATTCAGTCAGATACAATTTAAAACATCCTCTAAGCTCTGAAATATGTAATTATGCATCATTAAAATGACAATTAGCTGCTTGTAGGGACGAAAAAAGGTCACAATAAACACTACTAAGGGGGAGATTTTAATATTTTATTTTAAAATCTTTTCTGTAAGAAAATACTTCCTTGCAGATGGAACGAGCTGTGGTTTACTGTTTATTGGTTTAATATAGGAGGGCTGCGAGTAATGTGACTGAGCAAAATATTCTGAAATTATTCTGAAGTGGATTCTTAATTGTGTTTCTTTTCCTTGGTTTATAAAAATTGAAAGAATACCAAACTGGTTTAAACTCTTAAATTCAAAGTCTAAAGTTTTACAGAAATGTTAATGAACTTAAGGTTTAAAAGTGCAACAGTGTTTAAAAAAGATAAACAGGGAGGTGGGAGTATGGTCCAGGAACCAGACCAGCTAACCCTCTTCAATCATATTTAACTGGTTTCTTAGTTTTCATTACAATCGGAACATTTCCAAAAGTTTAAAACTCCAGTATTTTTTCCAACCTCCTATTTTATTTTAATCGTTAGTATAACAGTTAACAAGTATGCAGTAAGGCTGGGTAATTAATTGCATTTGTAATATAGTCGCAATTTAACAAAAGGCAATTTTCAACTTGCAGAGGCACTGATTTTTAATCAGACTATATTTAACAAGAGTAAGACACTAAATTGCTCCCTACAACGTTTGGTGTGGGTTTGTCACCAAACAGAAAGGTAGAGAGCTTAGCATTTAACATGCAGATCTATACACAATGGTTACAGTATAGTCCTGTTACAATGGACTCTCAGTAAGCAAGCCTTCTAAAAGCGAAAGATCTATAAGCTTGGGGTTAGTGCAAAGGAAAGTCAAAATAAAATCTCGATTTTGGTTAAAAATAATTTAGATAATTTGGCAAAATCGTTAAGCCCTAGTATGCACATAATGTCATCATGAGTAGAGGAGCATACTTATTTAATTGCATAACGACCTCATTAAATATTCTAAATTTTCTATGCACACAAACTGTATTTTAATATGGCAAAAAAAAAAATTCCATTTCCTTTATTTTTTACATTTTAGTCACCAAAATGCAGAATACTGTAGGATACCTACATTTATTTGGGATTAATAAAAAGTTATTTTCACTTTCTTTGCATTATCAAATAACTTTCAAGTGTACTTTTTTAATACTATCTGGGGATTGTTCTTCCAAACTGTCAGGGTGGAATTTCACAGATAGCAGCACAGACAGCTCCATCTCCTCTGCTGAGTCCCGTTCTGATAGCAGATATAGTCAATAAGCAACAAATGTTAATTACATTAATCAAAATATATTATTTGCCAATATATTATAGAAATCAGTCCCATCTATTTCTATGAGTATATATGTGAGGGGGAAGAAAAAAAATCGATGTATGATATAAGATATCCTGGTGCATGAGGAAATAAGAAGGGAGCTGAGAAAGCAGCCTTGTGGGACGCCGGCACGGAGAAGGATCATCACAATATGTATACTATATTTATAATAATTTGCTAAATAGGACTGAGTATAATCAATGGTTGCAACACTTACAAATCTATATCTGTGAAGAAGTTTGTTCACTTACACTACCTTTCAAAAGTTTGGGGTCACAGTGAAATATCCTTATTTTTTAAGGAAAAGCACTGTACTTTTCAATGAAGATAACTTTAAACTAGTTATAACTTTAAAGAAATACACTCTATACATTGCTAATGTGGTAAATGACTATTCTAGCTGCAAATGTCTGGTTCTTTGTGCTCTATTTTCTATTCATTTCACAACGTATGGTGGTGAATAAGTGTGACTTTTCAGGAAAACACAAAATTGTTTGGGTGACCCCAAACTTTTGAACGGTAGTGTAACTGGCAACGGAAATCAACATTTTGTTTTTTTCTTTTCTCCATTCTTTTTTCCACTGCAGGAGTTTGTCTCATCCAGATAAAAACCTTGGCTTAACATTAGAAGCCAACTTAGGATGACATGTTGAAGCTGAAATAAGCCGTTTCCCAGACAGTGAGTGCGACATAATCAGCCAATCAGTGCTTCTAGTGACAGTCGGTGAATGTCCCCAGAATCACTTCATGGCTGCTCACTAAAAATCACAGTGAAGTATATGTTGAGTTTGACCTTTTGTGAGATGATTTCAACACTTAAGCTGTGGAGTTGTCATAAATTGTCTTGTTTTTTTGTGATGCAGGGAGCTGGAGCAGCTTGTAGAAATAAAATGCTCCCTTATTGTCCCTCAGTGGGGAAATTTAGGTGAACCAACATCAAACTGATAGGCAGACGGAAGCATGAAGCAAAGTTAAAAATGACAGAAAATGAAACCACACAGTATTCCTAATGGAGAGCGAGGATTTGATTTGTGTCATAATAAACCAAACAAACTTACAATAAGAACGGTCGGAAAATCTACAACAGATGTATAAAAAAAAAAAAAAAAAAAAAAAAACAACAACTGTGAAATATTTTTTTTTTTTTCTTATATTCAGTTTTATTGAGGATAGACAAAAAAATACTTTTGGTAAAATAGCTAAAATATATATATATATATATATATATATATATATATATATATATATATATATATATATATATATATATATATATATATATATATATATATATATATATATATATATATTCAGTATCTAATTAAAGTTTAATTAAGCTAAAGAACGAAGACAATATACACACTTTTTATACACATTTTTTCCAGTTTTTTTCTGGCCCAACTGACATACGTGTCCAAACCATTGGCCTACTGTTATAGATTTTTTCATTTCTTCCTCAGATGCCATGAAATCAAAGTACAGCGGCTTGATTCTGGCTCGGCAATATGGTATTTTTTTTTCAGCCAAGGAAACTACTGGGAAAAACTATAGATTTTCAAGCTTTTCCAGATTGTGGTAACATGTTTAAAGGTGAAAGCCAATTTATTAGTAAATGCAGTATTAATAATTTCAATAACAATTTCAAACATCCAACCTTTATCAAGAGCTTGCCTCTCAGGAGTTTCAAGAAAGAGGCTGGAAAAATGTTTGTGAACTCTGCGTCAAATTTAAGTTAAAAAAGGGAAATATGAGGTTGATTCAAAGCTTTCATAAATCAGCTTTAATAAGATTTAAATCAAGTCTGATCACAGAGTATTTGTTGTCGGAAATTTTTTATTTCTCTTCTATTATATATTAATTTATCCTAATTACTCACTATAAAAGTTTTCACTCAGTCTGTTTCTCTCTCAAGGCCACACCATTCTCTGCAGGATGGTGTTTGTAGACCAGACATAGCTTCTTCCCGTAACAAACCAGATTCTTTCTCAAGGTTTATTCATAACATGTTACTGAAAACCAAAGTGTCTGTAATTTGTTTGGACTCTGACTACTTTTCCATTGTTTTAAGTAAGGGGGAACGAACGCAGCCCAGATCAGAACAGAGCAGAATGCTGTGCCAGTCTTTGCAAAGATATTAATAAATGTGCCGAGTGAAATCCATCGATTTCCGCTTATTTAACTAGGATGAATAGTTGAATACTTTTTTCCCACAACAGTAAATGATGCATTTTTTGCTGTCTTTATGCTGAATACTTTTCGTTTGTTTTTTCCAAACTCGATCTTTGAAGATCTCTTATGATGGATGGACCTCTCAGTAAAACAACCCAGAGCTTGTGGTACTGGACATGTTTGCTTTCAGGTAGAACAGATGGAGTTAAATCAAGAGTCTCGATTACAAAAACAGAATTAGGAAGTAAAAATAAATAAATAAAAATTCTGTTAAAAAAAATACAAAGCCTCACTAGTGGAAATGTTTTACAACACAGGTTACCGTGGTGACAGCCCAGATAGGAGATAAAGGAGTTTTCTGAAAAAACAACATTGAACCCAGAGTCATCTTGATGAACTACTGCTTCCTACCGTGGGCCTTATGACTAAATTTTTCGTAGGCTGCCATAAAACATTTACCAAACAAACCCATTAAACTGAACATATTTTTTAAGATTTAAACTCAATACAACATATTAAGATGTGTAAAATAAAGGTGATTTTCAATAACAAAGGAAAACAAAATAATGGAAAATATTCCAAAATTAAAGTATGCAATTACTCACATCACTGTCCTGTGTGGTACGAGCTCTCAAGGGCCCTTGGTGGTTGGGTCCATTCACAACATCGCCTCTCACTTCAAATGAACTCTGTAAACAAGCTAAATTACTTCAAACTGTGGACATAAACCGGTCTGGAAAAAAAAATGTTAAAGAAGTAAAGCATTTAATCCGTCTGACACAAAATCTAAAAACGGTGAAGAAATTATTCTGTTGTTTTACTTTTCCTGCGGTCAGCCATATCTGTTCCCCTTAACCCCCCATTCTTCATTTTGGCAGTTTTCATCTTATAAGTTAGCAATTTTTTACCAACAGAACATTTGATACATGAAAATAGTTTCTAATTGATGGGAAAGCTAAACAAAGCCTGGCAGAAAGGTTACATAAGTGCATTAAAAAAGTAAAAAAAAAAAAAAAAGAAGCTAAATAATTTATGGGCCATCACTGCAAACCCCAACAAGAGATTCATCAAAGAGCAAATTCAACACTTGTACATGGATGGAGCTGAGATGCACTCATTCAAGAGACACAGAGGAAAGCCTACCTCTTCCAACAACTTCTTCTCTTTGAAACATTCAGAAATCCCTGCAGGAAATATGCACCAACACATGCAGTTAATGGAGAAGAAGCAATGTTCATGTAGCCACTTCATTACCACATTTTCCGGACTATACAGCGCACCCCCATATAAGGCATACCCACGATATGTTTTGAAAAAAAAATGAAAATGCACATATATAAGCCGCACCAGGCTATAAGCTGCTGATATCTACTGAACCGTCTCCCACCAAACCTGTAGGGGGAGCTCTACATGTAGCCCCTGGAGTAGGGATGAGGATGAATGCTAGCTTCTACTGAAAGATGGGGCTTTGTGAGCCCTTTATTTCACCTCGGCAGGAGTTGAGCACAGTTCCTTCATTGGTGAAGCAGCTTTAATGCGGCAAATAAAATGTGTGAATTCGGGACATATGTCCTCCGTCACGCCTGCTGCTAGCATGTTCCTGTTCTAAATGAAAATGAGCCCCTTATTCTTTCCTTTTCAACTTTGATTTCCTACGACAGAGTATTTGGGCCAGGCTAGAGATTTTTCTTTTCTTTTATTTCGAGAATAAAGTCATCATACAACAACCCGTTTCAGAAAGAGAGCTTTGAGCTCCGACCAGCATATTACGGCCGACCAGCTCCACCAATCAGCAACCTGAGTCCACTTTGACATACTGCCCAATCTGATGCTGGTGCTAAAAGATTTCCTTATTTGTCAAACCCGAGCCAAAGTAAAGTATAACTTAACATGATGCTCGACATTTCTCATTTTAGGGAGGAAAGTGTTTCTTGTAAGAGTTGTCATGAAATACAACTCTTTTCTTCTAATTTTTATGGCTATTCTTGTTGCGACTTTACCCTCGTAATGCTGCGACTTTACCCTCGTAATGCTGCGACTTTACCCTCGTAATGCTGCGACTTTACCCTCGTAATGCTGCGACTTTACCCTCGTAATGCTGCGACTTTATTCTCAAAATAATAAACTCTAGCCTGGCCCTTATACTCAGTCGTAAGTTCCCCCTCTAGCGGTTAAGAAAAATCCACAGAAAAGCCTCACCTCCTTATAAGCGGCATGGGAAAAAGCATGGGAAAAAGCATGGGAAAAAGCATGGGAAAAAGCATGGGAAAAAGTAGCGACTTATAGTCCGGGAAATAACGTAATCTAAAAAATTCACTATAATCACCCCCAACTAGTAAAGTCCCACTTACAGAGGAAGCTGACCACCCACTTTCTGCCCGCGATTCCAAGGAAATATTTCAGAGTGCGCTCACATACCAGCTGGTCATCTATTAAAGAGAGAGAAACAAACAAGAAATCACACTTAAGATGTGCAAGAGTATACGCATAGAAAACAAAAGTTTGATTGATGCATACATGTTTGCAACAATATAACATTAACCTAAAGCGCAGTCTTACCTGTGCGCATTATAACGTGGGTGACCTCTGGCGTGACCTGTGGAACGACGTGACCGCCAAGTCTCTTGGCAAACTTTTTCACCATTATCTGGAAACATAAATATCACATCAGATTAAGTGTTCTTCTATATAAACGGCCACCTGAGCTGACTGAAAGCACCAAAAGCCACCTGCTCATTGGGGCCCAGTCCAGACGTCACCAGGACAAGTTTAGGTTTAGGTCGGTCTTTCGGAGGACTGTTGTTTTCTTTGTCTTCTTGACCATCTGGCGGTAAATCACGGTTTATAACCGTTTTGGTTGCAGGAGTCGAACTCCGGACCTTTGTGCCTTTTACTTGCAATGCCGCACAAGATGAGTCGTTTACAGCTTCAAAGAAAATAAAGAAAAGAAGGAATAATCAGTGGCTAGTAATAAATAAAAAAGCACAAAATTTGTATTAAGAATGCATCTTATAAAATATAGATGCATCTTGGCTCACATCAACAAAGAATATGACACAATCAACTCAATACTGAAAAATGCAGACCGAAGTAATAGAGGTGTATCTAATGTACAACAAATCATACTGTGTGTTACATAAATAGCCTTACCGCTCTCTGAAACGCTGCCCTGCTTTGCCACTACTTTATCATCTGATGGTCTTTTTTCTGCATCTAAAAAATCCTCCCTGCAAGAAAGATATTTATAAAAATAAACAAAAAAAGGGCACTAACAAACACGATTTATAGCAGGTGAGTAAAAAAACTTGTCTCACAGTTCAGGTACTTTGCTTTGTAAACCTTGCCTTGATACATTTTTCCTCCCTCAGCTAAAAAAAGAATGAGTCAGGTCAGGTTTTTCTCTACTAGATTTTGGACCCTTGTGCACCGATTGAAATATGTCAAATGACTGATGACACGGCAGTAGGGATTTAATATAAAATTCAGGATGCATTGTGTGGGGCAGCAAGGATAATTTATGAAATCAATTATAAAACTACATGTGGCCTTTTATGTGCAATAACATTCTGGCTTTATGGCAAATAAAGCAGAACTGCACACCCAGCACTGACATTCAGCTGCAAGGATGCAGATTATATTATTTTGCTGAGATTAAAATCTTTGACTTGTGATCATTTCATTTATAAATTTAACACCTGTTGAACTCATTTGGAGGAAATTTAATGGAGATTTATTACTTGGACAAGAAATGCACAAAGCACAAGTTTTCCTTATATCACACACACGTCTATCGTTCTATAGAGCCAGACATAACTCTGATCAGAAGAGTCTGTGTAAACGCCAGACATGTTCATATTTTAAAGGAAAAAAACAATAAAAACACCTAGCTGCCCAAAAATGTATTTAAAAAAAACAATTAAAATATTGGTTTTATATTAAGAAGAAAAAGCAAAGTCGAGCAACAAGGAAACTTGGAGTTAAAGCCAAGTTGGATTGTTTGTGAGCACAAGGGTCCTCAGAATAAAACAAACTCCTTGCTGTTGTTTTTATAGTTTGTGTCATCAATAAGTACAAAACATCTAACCACCATCCATTACTCATGTAAATAGCTAAACAAACAAAAAAAAAATAACCAAAAAGTCTTTCTTTAATGTCTAAGAACATTGGAATACAGCTGCAAACTGATTCTACACTAAAAAAATTTATTTCCCTTCCAAACATCATGAATACTAGCCTAGAATGACTATTTTAAAGCCAGATGACGTGAGAAAACATAGACTAAGAACCTGGTTTTGCTGGTTTGGAAGTTTCCACAAATAAAAGTTTTGACAGTTGCATTACTGGCGAGCAGTTACACCTGCATCAGGGACAACATGTCTGGTAATGTGTAAAAAGCTGAGGCAAACTCAACCACATAGCTCGCTAATGAATGGTTACATAATGACACAACTGTGAGAAATGGGAGCCCTGGTATTTTCAAATATAATTTACAGCAATGACTGGTCAGAATGGGACCAAAGCTACATCTATATTAATAATGGAGCAATTTCAGCGTTATAAATGCATTTTTCAATTCAGTACAAGAAACAAGGTTTCACTCAGAGTGTTTTTATTTTTCTGTGTGGTGGCGGTTTGTCCAAGCTGATGTCCTCTGACAGCATTTCTTCACACTTCCTTTTCCTCATTAGATACAGTTTCATATAAATATTTGTTCCATGCACTAAAATTAACCCTGAGGACTTTTCCCTCTCCACTTTCTGCTGGTGGTTACTATTGTTTGCAGCGATTCCCATTTTTGGAAACCCCAACAAAACATCTTTGCTCTTTGATGGCTTCCCTTAAAACCTTTAAAATTAAAGAAATTCTAATGAAACATAAAAAGCCCTAAATTGATTGATGGTAAGCAACTGAAATAGACATTTTACAAACCAACTCCCTTTGTAAAATTACCTTAATGCTTATCTTGTTGAAGCCTCTAACAGGCACCAGATTACATAGAAAATGGTTAACCCTGCTGCTTCATCAAGGAAGCTACATCATTTTTATTTGATTAACGATTTCCCTAAAATCAGACCCGAATAATGATTGCAATTTCAAATCAGACCTTGACAGAGACAGAATATAATAATACCTCCTCTTAGTAATCACTGATAAGCTGTGCTATGATTAAAATTGGGAAGAAACTGACAATGTCTTGCCTGAAAGACCTCAGAAGAGTGAAAACTAGCAGCAACGCTGCTTTTAAATTCCCCGCATAAAAATTAAAAACCCCAAAAGAAGTGCCAACTTTTTTCTAATTTCCGCGCTGCACTCCTAGGATTTGTGACTCCAATTTCAAATCTTCAGAACAAAGCCCTTTCTTGCCATCTTTTCAATCTCCCTCTGGCTGGTATTTAGAAGCTGGGGGGACGCACTCAGATGGCAAAGATAAATTATTTTAGCAACGCAAGTTCCCGTCTAAGTGCTTTAAATGACATCAGAGGCTGCCGGTAATCCCTTTTTTTAATCTCACAGTATAAGCAGAATCAGAGTTCATTAGTGAGACAAACAGTCTGTCCTTTAACGATACAAGGAAACACTAACTTCTTCATTCAGATGCAGCATCCACAACAATTAAGAGCCGCATGCTTCAGTTATCGTACCGCTCATTAATGCTACACCATGATACATTTACATTTGACATCTGTTAGCAATAATATAATTATCTGAGAATAAAAAAAGCACTGTGCATATCTAATCTACTTAAATATGACCATAAATTAAAAAGCTGCATATTGACATTAAACCTCCATGAAGGCAGATGTCTGTGTAGCAGAGCAATCAATCAAACTGACAAATGCCTGTCTGCTCTTATTTCTCACAGAAGTGTTACTTGTCTTGTAGATATTTTGGAAATCATATACTTTCCTTTTGCTGAAGGGATTCAAGCTTATTATGCAGTAGAGCTGGAATAATCTAAAGCAATTCTTCAAAAAAATTTAAAATAAATACTGAGGCTTGAACTGCTTGTTTTTCTGCAACTCCTGTTTTCTTTGAAGACAGTCAAGAACAATTTTTCCTCGTGATTTCTGAACACTTATTTTTCTGTTTTAATTGGGCGTTTGATATCCCCGTTTTTTCTACATATTTGGCATTCAAACCTCGATTTAGTCTTTAAGACATTTATCAGAAATAGATTTCAATAAATAGCCCATTTTATCTTTTTTTTCATTATTCTGCACAACAGAAGACAGAATTGTATGACCTGATCCAATCTTTGAGTTTCATTCATTATAAATCTGATGGACTCTGACAGAAAAGTGGTCCAAAACCCAGGACAGAAATGGTCCAGGCACAAAAATCTGCTTTTCTTATCCAGCGATTATAGTCGCCTAGTCCTGCAGAAATCCTGCAGATCCTCTCAGCTAGCATAGCTTAAAGTTTTGGAAGTAAGTAGGATGAGATCATCTTTAAACAGAAAAAACCCCAAAAACGATTAGCCTGAACAGATAAAGGAAGGCATTCTTTTACGTTTGCCCATTATGTTTCATGATCGCTTTGGGTGAGAGATGCATAGCAACACTTCAAGCTCCAGGAATGTTTCCTCAGAGACGTCCTTGAAGAACTGGTTTACATTTCAAAATAATCATCCTGTTGTGACGTTATCAGTTGTTTTAATCACTTCCTTCTAAACAATAAAGCCATAATCAGTCGGTACTCTCCGTTTTTTGATCATAACCAAATTGAATTTGCTTTTTTTTTTATAATACAAGCAAAAATATCAATGATTTATGTTTTTTTTTTTTTTTTTACTTTTTATCATGTTTTATCATTTTCATTCATCAATAATTGAAAATATACACAGAAAAACAGCTGCTTTGCTAAGAAAACCCAAACAAGAAGGAAGTAAGAGCCTTTATGTTGCAGCACTAACAGTCTGACCTGTCTGAAGGCTGGACTGGGTCCTGATCATTCGGGAGGGGTTTGGGGACATCTGGGCCTGTGGATTTGACATAATTAAATTCAGATACTGTGCAACTCAGAGCAAAATCTAAAAATCTATGGCAGCAAAGGGAAATATACCACATTTAAAAGTTCTTTACTTCTTATATTGAATTTAACCATGAATAGACCTTTTGAGTCAGCTAAAAAGGTGTTTTTAATTTTTTATTTCTATATGAATGTCGGTAAAAAGTTCCATTAAAAAGTTATCTTCTTGATTATTTCAGGTTCTATCAGAAAAATAAAATGGTTTACCACTCATTAACCCAAATAATACAAATGGAGAAAACAGTCTCCTGCTTACCCCTGTCTTTACCGCCCTGATCGCTCTCTGAAGGCAGCCCTTCTCTGGCAGGGCTGCCTTCTTTCTCCTGAAGCACCTCTGAGACCAACGCAATCAGCTTCTCCAGCCTCACCAGCTCCTTCTGCATTTCTATCTTTTGCTGCAGGAAGAAGAGGATAAAAGAAAGCATGAGATTTAACTCTAAATATCCTCTTTTTTTATTTTAAAAGGGGAGGTAAAGACTGCTGCAGTTACTGTATTCTTTGGTCTCACAGTGTAGATGCATCGATTATGTGCACAGACTAAATGAATAACCTAATGAATGCGTTCTCCTCTTTCAGAAATACTGGATGTTTTGTTTTTTTAAACACCCTGGGGCTTAAGAGTGCAACTCCCAAATTAAATATAGTCAACAAATAAAACAGCGAGCAATGGAAGATGGATGAGGTAAGGCAGACAAAATAAAAATCATCCTTTCTGCAACATTTCCTCCTGCATAAATGAAATGCAAATTAGAAAGCAGCTGAGGGTGAACTTTTTCACTGACAAAGGCAGTCTGTCACCCAGGAGCTGATAGGAAGATTTTGTTGAAAATGTAAAGGCTGCCCTCTATGCCCTCTATAAATTTAACTCCGTGTTTAGAACTAATGGATTAATGAACATAATCCGTTTGTGCAGTTCGATGTGTTTTTATCCCAAACTGATGCATGGTCATATCTACCTGTGTAACAGGAACTTCGCTTGAGAATTCAGAGGATTCAATGGAAATGCCTGCATCATTTTCAGGGGCATCACCTGCAAAAAAGAAAAGTTTTAAAGGTTTACAAAAGATTTAGTAGTTAATGATTAGTAAAATCACATACTTTGTGAAGCACTAACCTACTAACAAACTAACAAATAAAATTTCACAAAACACTGAGCAACGTTGGCGTTCCTGATTTTCTTTTTTAAAGATCTCCGTAAAACTGAAACAAACTCAATTTCATTCTTCTTCACTCAGTCATAACTTCCTCATCATTGTGTGACCTAATAACACTTTAATGAGGTGCTTTTACTGAACGGAAAAAAGTGAGTTTTTTGTTGGTTTTTTTTACTTTTTCCTAAATTTCCCCTTAATTTTTTTAAATGTAAGGGTAAAAAAAACAAGATTAGAGAACCAAAAGATAGACATAGAGCCCGGCTAGAAAGTGATGAGGTTTCCAACTGTTGCTCTACTTACATTCAGCTGGTGTGCCGAACAGGTCCACAGACGCCTGACTAGAGTGGACCTGGTCTGGACTCGGGCTGCCAGGAGGACGGCTCAGTGGTTCTGCTCCATCGGTTTCACCACAGACACCCTCACCTCTGCTAGTTTCACCCATTTCCTCCTGATCTCTGGCCTCGGTTTGGGGCCGATTTGACACTCCAAAGATGTGAGCCAGAGCTGGAAACTCCTCTTTTGAGTCACTGCTTCCTGACTCAGATGAAGAATCGAGCTTCTGAGTTCTCCTCTTCTTCTTCGGGTTCATCTTGACAGAGGATGGAGTGCTGACCTCTCCGCTAACACTGGCGTTCAAATCTGCTTTATGGATCTCTAAAATGTCCGGGGTTAAAGAGGCGTCTTGGAATGAAGGATAGTTGGAAACACCATCTCTGATCTCCTTCAGACTACTGGCGACCTGTGAGCTCCTTGGTGCATCACGCTCTACAGCCATGAAGCAGAGGCCAGACTCTATGACCTGAGGGACCACAGACTGAGGGCTGTCTCTGTCCCGCCTTGATACTTTGTTAGGACTGAGACCACTGCTGAAGCTACTTCTGATTGGACAGTATTCAGCATCATCCTCCTGCACTGAACCCTTGCTATTAGGATCAGAAGCTTCCAGCACGGATTGATCAGGTTTTTTCTGGTCGGGGAAGTCGGAAGGAGGAATCACATCACTGCAAACCAGCTTTCCAGTAACTTTTAAAACCTCGCCGACATTTTCAGATAATTCAGAGCCTGCATCACTGGTCGCTGCATCATCTAAACCACGGCTTCTCTTCACGTTTGGTTCCCCGAGACAGAAGGATTTCCTTTTAGCAGCTTTAAAGGTCCTGAGCAGCTGCTCTGTGTCCAGCTCACTGTCATTCCTGCAATCCTCGGATTCTTCTACTTTACGTTTAGCCTCATTAACACTGATTTCTTGCTGAGAATCATGTTGGTAATTCATCTCCTGCTTCTCGCTGTCAAGCGTCGGACCTACCACAGATGGAAGGGATGGGCTTGTAGAGTTTGGAACCACAGAGGGAGGACAGTCAGCAGCCGCTTTAGGAGGAGTTTGGGCTTCGGGAACTTCTGCCTCAGTTTGTCTTAAAGAGGCTCTCCCACTGTTCTCTGCGCTTTCTATCCCTCCGATATCCTCCTCATAGATGCATCCGTTTCTTTTCGCTTCCATTGGTAGGTTTCCACTTTTAGGCAGCACTGCATCCATGGCTTCATCACTGGTATCTTCAGTTAGCTTTTTAGCGCTGCGATTTTCCTGATCCTCCTCCGCAAAAAGCTGAAGTCTTCTGCTTCTTCTGGCACTGCTCATGACTGGAGTCTTCTGTTCCTCGCTGCTGGGATAAGTCTCGATTTGAACTACGACTTTCTCGGATCTTTCATTCGGTTTAGGACTGGTTTCGCTGTTCTGAAATTCTAATAAAACAGCAGATTCAGCCTCTTTAGTTGGTTTCTTTCTATTTGAATTAGACTTTCTTGCTTTCCTACTGCCGCCTTTCTCCTCTCTACCTTCTGATTTTAAATCGGTTTGCTCTGATGGTTCAACTTGAAGCTGTTGCATATTTTTACGAGTCCTTCTCTTTGGCGGTGATGCTTCTGGTTGATTTTTGTCGCTTTCTGACAAGTTTTTTAACTGTTCAACACTTCCATCAGGCTTTTCTTTTACATCTGGTTTATAAAAGTCCCCGCTGATTTCATTTTCAACCTGTTTCTCTTCACAGTGGAGTAGGTTGCTTTTCTTTGAAACTCTTTTAATGTTTTTTCTTTCTTTAGCCGTTAGCGGCTCTATAACTTTGTTCCCTCTACGCTTGTAGACGGCACCAAAAACCTGTTCTTCGAGGCCTTTGGCGCGATCGTCCTTCTTAGGATTCAGTTCATCGTTCTGCGGCACCAAATCCAGCGTCGATGCAGACGAACAGCTGTCCTCGTCATCCTCATGGGTGGGGGGGTTCTCCAGCTCCAGCTCTTCTTTGGCTGGAACCTTCAGGAGCCATTCGGCGACTTTCTCTAAACTCTTCTTCTTTTTCTGCTCATCAACCTTTTCGGGATCTACTTCCTTTTTTTGTTTCTTCCTAGAGGACTTCCTGACAGGCTGTTGAACAGTTTCCTCCTGAGTAGGTTTCAAACAATCAGAGTTCTCTGGTTTGCTTCTTGACGATGAGGCGTTTTTCCCAACATTTTCTGTCTCTAAATGATCTGCAGAGTTGGACGTCTTCCTGTCAGAAGCTGGCGGGATGTCACACAGGCGGCCATCCAGGCCTTCGTTTTCTGCCGTTACAGAAACCGAGTCTTCAAGTCCCATTAGCTGAGCGAATCCGTTCAGAGCTATAAAAAGCAAGACAGACAGATGCTGAGTGTCGAGGTGACAGCCTCAGGTTTTTAAGCAGCGATGGACTAATGTTAAAAAATTGTTCTAACATTAAGATTGGTATTGTAATTATGGCCAGAACAAAATGCTTCTTATCACTACAGATATACTGTCTGTAGGGTTAAGAGAATTGATTTAGATTATTAAATGATTAGCTTCAGCCGCTTTTATTAAAGGTTGAGTCAATATAACTAAGAAAATTGAGAAGGGAGAATTGAAAACACAACTTTGGGTTTATTTTAGACTCTAATGTTTCAGTTTAGGTTTATAACAAAGGTTCAGTGACTTAGTTTGATTTATTTATGCTAAATCCATATGTTTTTTTAATTGTTTCCAAGTGTCAGCCCTTTAATTAAAACAGCATCCTCAGAAAAATAAAAAATTAAACAAAAAAATGAATCAAGACCAGACAAGCAATCAGTCCAGACCCAGCAAAATCTGGGAAATACTTGTTAAATATCCTTGACGGGATTGAACCATATCAGGAAAACAATTACTGTATTTTCTGGACTATAGAGTGCACCTCATTATAAGCCACTGAAAACGTACATATTTACGCCGCACTAAGCTATAAGACGCTGATATCTACTGAACTGTCTTCAACTAAACCTGTAGGGAGAGCTCTACATGTCACCCTTAGATTAAGGACTAAGAGGAATGCTAGCTCCCGTTAGCTTGTTAGCTTGCAGCAGTAAGAGCTTCAACTGAAAGAACGGGCTTCGTCAGCTCTTTATTCAAGCTCTGCAGGAGTTGAGCCCATTGTCTTTATCGATTCGACAGCTTTAATGACACAAATAAAAGTCAAAATGTGTGAATTTGGGACATTTCTTCTCTGTTGTGCCTGCTGCTAACATGTTCTTGTGCTAAATGAAAATTAGCCCCTTATTCTTTCATTTACAACTTTGACTTTGCCCTCTGGCAATGAGGAAAAATTTACAGAAAAGATGCATCTTCTTATAAGCCGCATGGCTCAAAGCGTGGGGGGAAAAGCAGCGGTTTATAGTCCAGAAAATACGGTCAATTTTACATCACTAAAAGAATTGCAAGTTATCAATTTACTGACTGTTATTGACCCACACCTTCATTAAACTTTTTTTTCTTTACCACGTAATGGTTTTAACTTTGTTTCAATGAGCTGTGTGAGCCATAAAAGAAGCCTAAACCCATCAGAGAGAGCAAATAAATATTGCAGAGTAAGAATGGATACTGCCGCTTCAACCGAGCCGCACTTTTAAGAAAAGTCTTCAGCGGTTTCAAACCAGTACAACCACTTCTTTTTTTTGGAAAGATAAGCATGGCTGAATGACTGTCAGGCTACTGATATCTCAGGCGGTTTAAAATATACTACAGCTTAACAACAGTATGGCTTCGGATTTGATGTGATGCATGAACGTTTTTACCTGCTGCAGTTGAGGAGCATGACTGAGGATGATCATCACAGCCTGTGGTTTCCAAATTGTTCAGATCAGTTCCAAACGTGTTTCCAGATGATAAATTAGCAGCATGTTTACTTGTCTCTCTATCTGTGATACTATAAAGACAGAAAAAGCATGTATTCGCTGAACACCTAAATGGGAGAATATTAAGGTTTCATTTGTTTGGTTCTTACTTAGCGTTCATCCTTTCCTGTGGCAGTCCAGTAAAGTCTGAAAGTGGGAAAAAAAAAACATGCTATAGTAAAACAGATTTATTCAAGCATATTATATCAGCTAGTTTGTTCATAAGCTCTTACAGTTTGTGCTGGTGTCATGTTCATATGCCTGGATCATGTCTTGCAATCCAGCAACAAGTCTCTGAAACCCAGGGCTTTCCTGCAGGCTCCTAACAAACAAGCAGCAGGTTCTAATAAGAATAAAATCTCTGATTACAGCCGTTAATAGAAGGTTTTCCATGTACTGACCTCTTTGTTATCTTGGATTTACAAACAGGGCAAGTGGCTCTGTTTGGTTTGGAGTTGTCCAAAAGTTTTGTAATACAAAATCTGCCCAAGTAGAAACTTAAGGTAAAGATTGAATTCTAAAAAAACTATATAAAAATGCAACTTTTTTTTCAACCAAACCTCTAAAATAGTTAAATCCAAAAAGTTCTTACTTGCAAAACTGATGATCACACTTAGTAGAAACGGGTGCAGTCATTAGCTCCAGGCTAAACGACAAAACAAAAAAATAAAAAAAAAAAATACAGGAGATATCAGAGAGAGGAACTCCCCCCCTCAATCAGAAATATAATTGTTGCTCTAAAACAAACTCACCAAATTGGACACTGAAGAGTTTCCCACAGGACTGCGATCCCCTTTCTGACATCTTCCGCTTTTGGAGTCGTCATGGTGATTTTAAACAGCTGCAAAATATGAGCCACAAGGGAAAATGCTGCAATGAAGGAAAGAAACAAGCAAGCAACACATTAAACCATAACAAATGTAGCCGTTTGCAGGACAAAGGAGATGTATAAAGGGAAGATATCAAATAAAAGGTCTATTTTATTCTTTTACGCTACACCGATAACAGCCTCTGATCATTTCTCTATTTTTATGGCAATGCCTTTAAAACAATCCTATTGTCTGCTGAATGGTTTAACGATGAACAAACTTTAACAGAAGCAGTAGAGTTATACAACCGGTGTGTACTTTGCTCAAGTTGACAGCATATTATTTTCCATTGTGTATGTAAAGGAAATACCTAAGGCAGCAAATTGGACAACTAATACAGGTTGTCATTTTTTCCTATTTTGCTAAACAGCTCTGCATCTAAAATATTACTTCAATTAAACAGAAATGAACTATTAAAATAGGACTTATGTATTGATGATAAAAGAATCTGTGAAATAAATTGGCTAAGCTCATCGAGCCAACAAAGGAAGCTAAAATTAGCCAAACCTAATTTTCTTTCTGAACATTGAAACAAATATAGACCAATAAATGAGGAGCTTTGATTTTTAGCTACATTGTTAATGATACCATCCACCACTCCAGGCTACCATCTAATCATAAACAACAGACCAAGATACATGAACTCTTAGATACGTGCACCAAGGCAAGGCTTTAAATTAAAAAGCAAACTTGTACACATTCAAACTGATTAGAGATTCCCGTACGTTTCACGCTGCTCACAGTTTTGTGCACTCCATGATCTTTTCCCATCTAAGTTACTGCATTAGTTCTTGGTCACAGGCCACAAGCACTACTATCAAGCCTTTTCAGATGATCTATAATAGAGCTATAAAAATCTTAGACAAAAAAAACCAATCAGGTCCCATCACTGTGTTAGTCTGAACAATTTAAAAATGCTGAATTTCAAAAACTTTGTGAAATTTGCCCAGTTAAAACTGGTATATAAATGCTTGCATGATAAGGCCCCTAAGGTTTTGAGTGACTGTGTAGTTCCTCTCAGAGCTGTGGGCTCAGTCACAAGAGGAGCCCACAGTGGAAACTGTCATGTACCCAGACGCAAAACCTCTTTCGGTCAATCAGCTTTCATTGTACAAGGCACCAAAACATGGAACACATTACCTGCAGAACTGAAGGGAGAGTCAAACTGGGTCCTTTTTAAACATAAACTTAAAGACTTTTTATTGAGAGGTCAGTCATGTGAACATTAATAATCTAACTGACCTGATTTTATTTCTGTGATGTTTTAATGTGTAATTTGCTCTGTTGTTCTTGTGTACAGTCACTGTGTTTTGTGTAAAAGCCTAACTGGGGACAGACATTGAGAATTAGCCTTAGCTAAAATGTTGTAGTGTGTGACATGATGCATGAAACATACTTGTCCCTATCAAATAAACAAATAAATAAATAAATAAAAACCGACAGAAGGATGATAATTGAAATGAATTGATCTCACATTGGAGAAATTTACTTCTGTATTTAACCCATCCCCTTGGGGAGCAGTGGGCTGCCATTGTGCAGCGCCTGGGGAGCAGTGTGGGGTTAGAGTTCTTGCTCAGGAACCCAGAGTCAGGCTGTGGGGGTCAAACCCGGTCCTTGCAACCTTCTGAGAGAACAAGCGCACTGCTCTAACCCACTAGGCCAACACTCCCGGATGGATGGATATTGAAAACACAGACTTATACAAGCTGAATGCTGGTGGATGATCAATGCATCATTTAAACTATTAAACAAGAAGTAAATTTAGACAGGCCTATTTTTCTTTGTCATTTTTTTTTTTTTATTGCACATTTTTTAGTCTAAGACAATGCTTCAACTGAATTCAATACTTTTCCCACACTTTATCGGACACTATGTGGAGACTGACTACAGATCTGGATGTTCTATGTTTTTTTTTTCTTTGTTTGTTATCAAATCTACATTTAAACCACTAACTACTCTAACACTACCATCTGGTTCCATAACTGAGGTACTATCTGGAACAGAAAAGGCGAGGTCGCGACCCCTAGTGGGTCCATAACGGCACTACAGGAAGGAAGTTTTCATCTCAAGAGTTTATTTTTTATTTTTAAACACATTAGGATAAATCACAAAGATGTCTTAGTAAACTAAAGAATAAAGGCCTATTAAAATGCATGCAATCAGAAAATTGCACATGAATTGAGATCAAACACTCCTCTTCACAAACAGCACCCCTTGCTCTGTCTCTCCAACAATATATATTACATATTAACAATATATATTGTTGTAGAAAATAAAACATCCCAAGAAAAATTACTAATAATTCTGGCCATCATAACAGATCTGAGTTAAACACACCAAAGCGTATGTGCTTAAAAAGAAAATGGTGAAGGGAGGAAGACAAAACCTGGTGTTTGCATTTATAAGGAAGAATGAAATATATGTTCAAATTGGGTGACGTCTGCACTCATTTTAAATACATTGATTTAAAGTACTTGGATAGGATGTTATAGGTTTATTATTTTTTTAAACCACTTTTTTTTTTCTGTGAGTAGAGAAAAAAAAACAGTTGATCTGAAGTCAAAGCTAAAAAAAAAAAAACATTTTAGTTTTGTTCATATTTCATGCAGCGAACCCCCAGTTGTTACCAAAGCATCATAACATCACAAATTAATTACCAGAAACCTAGGGTTTTCCATATAAAAATCACCGAATCTGCTAACATGAAAGGTTTGAGCTACACAGTTAGCATTTTTCTGACACAACGACATTACCTCAACAAACGCTCAATAACAACATATCAGTGTCACTAGTAATAAGGAGAAGAAACAATGGCGTCACTTTATATTAAAGTTACCTTCTTTTCTGACAGTTTGAAGACCTCAACAACAACCTCTTCTGCTTCAGTTTTCCCGCAATCTCCTCTTCTTCTGCTGTGTTTGACCACAGATTTATTCTAGTGTTATAGTAGCGCCCCCTCTGGTGGAGCGGATGCTAAAATCAACAATATACTACCTTCACATACAGGAGGAAAAATGGGATAGAAAAAAAATACTATTTTGATTTGCAAATTGCAGAAAACATATTTAATTAGCAGTAAAAAAAAAAAAAAAAAAAAACAACTATTCAACATAAAATATTTTTTGAGGTAAAATACTTCCACAAAGTTTAGCGATAAAAAAAATTTTTATATATATTTTTTCTACTTTTTTCAAGGCTGCACTTTTAAAAAGATTAATTTGTCCAGTTTTTTTGTTACACTTGTTACACTGTGAAAAAAAGGACAAATAAACCTGTCTAAGTCTAAAAGATAATGCAGCAGCAGAAACCTCCCATTTAATTATACAATCTGAAAAGAATTCACTCAGGTCTTCAACCAGGTTCTTTCACTTCTCTTTCAGAATTTAAATGGAACTCCAAACATACCTACAGTGAAAGGCAAAGTTCTGCTGTATCAAAATATGTTTTTGTTGTAAATTTTGATACAAGTTTAAAGTACTTTTTAAAAACTATTTTGGATATCAAATTACATTCAAGTGAACAAAGGTTTTCAAAGCATGAACAAAGTACAAATACACTGGAAAACCGAATAAAATCCTTGCTCAGCAGCTTCTCCAGATACCTTCTTCTCTCTCTGTTTAATACTCTCAATGCCTTTAACTTGTCAGTTTTTTGGGGGTTTATTTTCATGTAATACTTTTTCCATTTTCAGTTAGTGAACTGAAGCCTTGTGAGATGTTCAAAATCCAAAGATTTTGTTTTTATAACAGCCTAAATTCCACAATGTTATTTGTCTGTGACCAGGTCTGTCACTGGCCTTCATGATGTTGTTTGTTTACAGAAATATAATTTAATAAATCTCAGATGCCTTGACAGAACAGCAGGAATTAAACTAGTATTAATTAATTAGTATTAATTAATGAAATGATAAAGTAGGTATTTTTGCTTTGATTTTATTGACAGAGGGTGAATGGAGCTGAAAATCAGACTATATCAGTAAAAAACAAAACAAAAAAAATTTATTCTCTACTCCACTTCACTGTGTAAGTACATCACACACATCCGTAAAATGTATCAAAAGTATATCAAGATCAGTGATTCATTATATAGCTCAGATTTAAAGTTATACATTCAGGATTAGACTTACTTGCATGCACAGAGTGTACAGAGAAGAACATTTCATTTTGTACAGCTTTCAGACAGTAAACAAGCAGCAGCTTAGCAGTGAAATGAACATTTCCATTCCACAAAGTGCAGCAGAGATCAAACGTAAACAGTGTAGGAGAGACATGGTGCAAAAAGGCATTAATATGGAAGTTAGGAGCCTTTTAGGGCAAATATATATGGTGCAAATATGCAGTATTTTAAATTTAGTGTTATCAGTGTTACGCAGAGTCTGTGACATGATATAGAGTTTTTTCAACAGTTCATTAGTCTGATGGTGGTGGGGAAAAAGCAGTTTCACAATCTGCTGGACCTGCACTGAATGCTGCGAAGCCTCTTTGTAGAGGGCAGCGCTGGGATGAAATGTCTTTAATGGAGGGAAGAGGGGCCCTGATGATCTTCTCTGCTGTTCTCACTACCTTCTTCCAGTCTGAGGCTCTGCAGCCTCCACACCACTGTGAGACAGCTGGTCAGAACGCTCTCTATGGTGCTTCTGTAGAAGATCGTGAGGATGTGGGGGGACTATGGAGTCAATAATGCAATGTCAGACAGTTTTGCTGATATAAACTAGTTTAACTAGAGCTTATGCCAAGACAACTCAAAATAAAGTCCAAGTGAAATACACTGACAGAGATAGTATTTATCATGCTCTTGTTTTAAGAATATACTGCTTCTTTATTTGTGAAAGAAATGTGGAAAAATCGTTCTAAAATGAGTTTTAAAATGAACTTGATATAAGAATTACTTCTTCAAAGGTTAATTAACCAATAATTCATTAAGTAGACTCTTCTAGAATGGTATTCTATTTAAAAAAAATCTTAAAAAGTGTTTAAACTTTTTTTCTCCCCAAAATATATTTATTCAAATTTTAGCAATTTAAACAAACATATTGAACAACATACAGAAAATAATCACAGCAATAGTTACGTTACTGTTCAAGTCAAAATAAAATACAGACAACAAATTGCCTCACACAACATTTATTCAAATGGGACTGATCACACTTCATTCTTAGCCTCTTATATTGAGAATTAAATTTTACAGTATATGTCCTTCAATAAATTGTCTTTGGGAACTGCAGTTCACTTGTTCTTTAATCACTTGCACCTTTTTGTTGATATATTCAGAGTCTTAACATAATTAATGAAGGAGTTCCAAATAGATTCAAACAGGTCCTGTTTGTCCTTTAATATATACATATTTTTTTTCCAGAGGGAGTACAGGTAACATCTGCTGCAGCCATTGGTTTATGCTCGGTCTGTGAGTCTTTTTCCAAAACAAAGATATACATCTCTTCCCATTAAGCAAACTTAAGTTTATAAACACTCGTTCATTTTTTTTTTTTTTTTTTTTTTTTGTAAATATGTTTTTCAGGAAATAATCCAAACATAAACAACCTTGCCTCAAAAATGATTTGTGTGTTGAAACTTTTACTTGAATAATACCACTACAGCGCCGGTAGAGGGCAGCACTTTTTATAATCTTACAAACTGGTAACCGTAGAAGAAGAGGTCTCATTCGCCATAAACAACAACAAGGAAGTGGTTGACGTAGTTTTTTGAGACAGTAGTCATTTTTTAAAACAAAAAATAATGGACATTCTGATGCAGTAGTGTTTTGTTTTATTTTTTACAGTTAACAGTAAGTACGTCTCCTGCTCTTACACCCTGTTAAGTTGAGCCCAAGCTAACTGGAAGGCTAGCCCATCGAGTCATCTCTTCTGCTTTTGTGGTTTTTGTCCAGAGAGTATGGCGTCAACGGTTTTTAATTTGTTGTTTTCTCGTGTTTTCTTCTGCCAGGTGAGGGATGGAGGGCTCTAAGTCTGCCAGCACCACTATGCAGGTGAGCTTCGTGTGTCAGCGGTGTAGCCAGCCGCTCAAACTGGACACCTCCTTTAATGTGCTCGACCGAGTCACAATCCAGGAGCTCATCGGTAGGTCTCAGGGTTTTTTTATTTATTTATTTTTGTTATTCTGAGGTAATATATCACCTGTATGATGGAGTAACTGTAGGAGATCTGTTTCCTCAGCCCCGCTGGTTACTGTGACTCCCAGCAGCAAACAGACTGACAGCAGTGGAGGGGAGGCAGCACCAGAGGTTGGTTTCCAGATGCAGGATTTCATCTCAGATATTTTTCTATATTTTTTTTCTTTGACTTCCTGTTAAGAACTTTGGATTGCCATGTATGTTGCTGGTGCTTTATAACTTAAATTTAAATGCATTTTTGCAAGAATAGGTTATTATCATATAATACTGAGCTGCAGGATTCCTAGTTTACTAATACAAATAGATAAAAAAGACAAGGTTATGCTTTAATTGCTTTCTAATTGGGTGTAAAGTCAGTAGTGATTGGTTAATGAGGCGTCTTGAAGCGTTTCTACAAATTGCCAAACTATGTTATTGATACCGTCTCAGAATACTGACACCTGCTGGACATTTAAAGACACTACAGGCAGCTTATTTGCCAGACTAAACTGAATTGATTTGATGACCTAGTAAAATGATAGAATTTAAGTTACTGTGGGTTATAATGCATTATTTCACATTTATGTTTAAATTGAAAATATCTTTGATATTTTTGATGCAGCCAATATATAATGTAAACATATAACGTGAAAATCTAGGGGAAAATGTGAATGAGGATGTTTGGGGACTAGGTTTTTAAATCATATTTTTAAAACAATAAGTACAGTAAAAACAGTAAATAAACTAAGAGTAAATTTGAAATTAACTTTAATTCAGATAAGTTGAGTGATAAATGGGAGGAAAGGTAAGACACGATGGTCCTATTCCTTTTAGGCTGCTACAAAATTTTTGATAATTTTAATGATAAACAGATTTATCCGGTTGTCAGATATGTTTTTTAACACAGTTTTGTGTGTCAGTCAGTTAGAAACAACTCCTGTATCGGTCACATGGCTTCCTTGAAACGACACATATGCACAATAGTGTTCTGCTCTATGGGCTCGACGCATGCACCGATGCATCAGTGTTGCTGGTACCATCACTAGTTATTGATATTAAATGAAACCGAACATTTAAAATATAAGTTGTGATTAAGCTTTTCCAGCATGATTGTTTTAATTCGGAGTTGTTTTCTCAAAGGAGACGTTTGTGGAAAACAAGCAAGATGGAGTGTCCAGAAAGTACATCCCTCCTGCACGGTGAGTTGTTTTTAAATCAGTTGCAGCCTGAATGTAATAAAACGGTTCCCGAAAGATGACAAAGCCGCCAAATCTTTCCATTGCAGGATGATGTCAACGGAGAGCGCCAACAGTTTCACGCTGATCGGGGACGCTTCGGATGGCGGAACCATGGAAAACCTTAGTCGAAGGTTAAAGGTGATAGTTTTAGTTGGTCAATTTCCCTCTTCTGTGCTTTTTTTTTTATTTATTTTTTTTGAGAAAATCAAGGCAATATTATGTTTTCTTCCCGCTAAGGTAACCAGTGACCTCTTTGACATCATGTCCGGCCAAACGGATGTGGATCACCCTCTTTGTGAGGAGTGCACCGACACTCTGCTGGATCACCTGGACACCCAACTCAACATCACAGAGAACGAGTGCCAGAACTACAAGTGAGCTGATTTAACCTAACGGTATATTTGGAGAAGAAGAGTTTGTCCTGTTGCTAAAATGCTGATGGTTATGTTTCCAGGCAGTGTCTGGAGCTTCTCTCCAACCTACAGGTGGAGGAAGAGGAGACTCTGCAGGCAGAACTGCAGCAGCTGAAAAACGAAGAGGAAACTCTGGTCCAGGAGCTGGAGGCTGTGGAG